TCTTGCCGCCGGAACAGTCGGACCTCCTCGTCAACCGATCGACCAGCTTAGCCCCTGGCCGTTCGTTTTCTTCCCCAACGCGCCGCGTAATTAACACCGGATCGTATCGCGAGAAAGAAACCGCGCCGGACAACATACACGCGCCCGCGCCGCGAATCTCGCGCCGCGGGCCGACCAGCCATTGGCCGGCTTACAGGCCCGTTCGCACGCGTACCGCATCGCGCCGGTACGGACCGCCTGATTCGCGTCCGCCGCATACACCGAATGCGTTGTAATTATCGCGGCCGTCTTATAGCATATAATCCACCCGCGTCCGCCGCATAAACCGAATGCGTTTCCATAAATTGTAATTATCGCGACCGTCTTATAGAATATCATCCGCCCGCGTCCGCCGCATAAACCGAATGCGTTTCCGTACTCTGTAATTATCGCGACCGTCCTATAGAATATAAGCCGCCCGCGTCCGCCGCATAAACCGAATGCGTTTCCGTACTTTGTAATTACCGCGACCGTTGTCTAGATTATAAACCGCCCGCGTTAGCCGCAATGGTCCGCATGCATCTCCGTTGTAACTCGCGACAGTCTGTTGTAATTGAACCACCGCAATAAACCACGTTCCGTATCAAAACTGCCTTCTGTCTCTGGGCCTACCATCGAACTCCTGGTCCGGCGAGCTAGTCCGCGGTCGATATAAACAGCCAAAAGGCAGGCCGTTACAGTTTTACCGCAATTCGAGGGTCCGCAAATGATCGCGCGTATAGTAGTCGGTAACAACGTACCGTGCTTGCGTTTCTTCACGTTGCCCCCCATCGACCGTAATCTGTCGTCGCAATTGGTCACGCGAATCGCCAACGGTTGTCGCACGAATCTCATTTCTTTCCACACTGCCGACTCTCTGGCTGACTCGAACGCATATTTATAGGCAAGCGGAGCCGCGAATCGCTCAGTAGCAAAGATGTTCGTCGTACTGTCGAGACCTTCCGATATTCGCGGTTTGAGCGCCGAACAGCTGCAATTTGTGCCGAAAGCCGTTCTGTTGCAAACGTGCGGCAATCACGTCCACTACGTGTGGGACAAGCTTCCGGAACATATAAAGGCGGATTTGGAGGTTCAAGAATATCGTCGCTGTTACGAACATTACAATCAACCGTGGCAGCGAACGCACATCGACGGTCCCGCGCCAATGATAAAGGATTGCGGCGAATGTCAACGAAAAAAATTGGCGAAGGCCTGTTAAATCGCGCGATAAACGCACTTCCGTTCGAATTACACATTCCCAGCTATCAATTTTGCGGTCCGGGAACTCGTTTACAAGAACGATTGGCGAGAGGCGATCAAGGTATTAATCCATTGGACGCGGCGTGTCGCGAGCACGACATAGCCTATTCGCGTAACCGCGATCTCACCGAGAGACACGCGGCGGACGAGATACTCGCTGCGGAAGCGCGAAAACGCATTACCGCGAGAGATT